ACCGTACGGTGTTACCTGTTATGCCCAAGTTACCGCGAATAGTGTATAGGACTCGCCTTATTCCACAGCCACAACCGTATCTTTCTCATTCCCATTCCTTCCACTCCCCCTTGGGCCTGAGGCCGCATACCTTCTTGCGATGCAGTACTCTCCTGGGCCTCGCCGACACCGCTTATCCCCGACGAGACGCTCTCACGTCTCGTTGTCTTTAAACTGTCAAAAATTTTCCCTCAATTTCCACCGCACGAGTATCACTGAATCACTCTCGAGCTGAGGTACATCGAGCACTCGACACTGAGGAGGTGTTGGTCAAGTGAATTTACAATGAGGTGACCTGTGGATTTTTCGAGGTGTCGCACTTGGATTAATCGGTAACGATCGAGAAATCGAGGAATTTGTGATAATTGCGAGATGGTATTTTTCACGAATCTGTTGCCAACCGCTTTTGGAAGTGTTCTGACGATTTTTCGGGGAGGAAAACATTCCATTCACTCCTGAAATCTTGAAATTCCCCACGTGTAACGTAATACAGTGGATAACGGTTATTTTTTTTTTCACTGCCGTTGCGATTAAAGAGTCTGGGACACGAGGCCACAAGCAACCGGTAGAAAAGACAGTTAGACGGACGTGCCGTTAATCATGTCCCCTTCTGTGTGATGATATGTGCGTGTTTATGTCGTATCGAATGAAATCGAGTCTCTTTTCAGAACGCGGAGAAATAATTCGCTGAGGTACCTTCGGACGGACCACAATACAGTAGCGGTAAACCGGCCCTAGTGGAAAAACATAAGGTGGAGGCGTAACATGCCTGATCAGAATTTCGGATCGGACTTGATCAGTTTCTGATCGAGACCTGAACAGAATTTCCACTAGGGTATGAGTCAATTTGAGAGTGAAATTCGTAAGTGTCCTGGTAGCTCAGATGGTAACAGCACCCGACGCGACATTGGGAGGTCCCGGGTTCGATTCCCGGCTAGGAAGTTACTAATTTTTTCTCTCAAAAAATTAAATTTAATTAATGCCTAATGATGGAAGGCGGAGAAACTCTAGTGGAAAAACATAAGGTAGAGGCGCAACATGCCTGATCAGAATTTCGGATCGGACTTGATCAGGTTCTGATCGAGAACTGAACAGAGTTTCCACTCGGGTATGAGTCAATTTGAGAGTGAAATTTGTAAGTGTCCTGGTAGCTCAGATGGTAAGAGCACCCGTTTTTACGTATGTTTTTACGTCGGTTAGTAATTGCGGGCGAGATGGGCTCTGGTAAAAATATCAATGATATATCCCCGGGAAATACGAAAATGGGAACGAATTACGTCTTGAGTTCGGGAAATCATTATAAACTAGCTTCATTCAAATAACACTCTCAAATTGCGGAGGAAATTCTCGTTTAATTACGAGAAATACTCCATGTGGTGCGCAAGACAAACTCGACGTCGCGGAGAGTTCGATGCTGGGGGAAGACCGATATCCATTCTCCTCGCTACACGCAGAGAAATTTTTGATGAAAATTATCCTACCGTTCTATAAAAGCGTGTCATGAGTCATCGTTTCCTCATTTCTATCCCGAAATTTAGTAAAAATTAATATGTGATGATCAAATTTTATTTCACGTTAGAGGAATTTTATCCTGACACATAATAAATTTTACCCGTCCAGTCCAGTAATTTTTATGTAGATAATAACGATCATTCTAGAATGGTTGGTAAATTTTACCCTATCGGTACAGTAATTTTTACTCTACCGGCACGGCAATTTTTATTTTTATCAGGATAAAATTCAGTAGTGGAGTGGTAAAGGGAGATAAGTCGACTCATCTCCCAGTTGAGTTTTTGAGGAATATTTCGGAATCTAAGGGAGATAGCAAAATTTCCGTAATTACATTTGTTGTAGCACTCAATCGGCTCCACAAAAAAGATTATAACAAAAATTGTGCCATCTCCCTTAGATTCCGAGATATTGATTGAAAACAGGTCAATAGTCAAAATTGACTCATCTCCGTTTACCAGTTCGCTACTGAATTTCTCTAACGTAGAATAAAATTTGATCATCATATATTAATTTTTACTAAATTTCGGGATAGAAATGCGGAAACGATGACTCATGATACACTTTTACAGAACGGTAGGATCATTTTTATCAAATATTTCTCTCCGGGTAATGAAAAGTACCCTGAACTCGGGTGAAGATTTTTCCTCACATTATTCCCTGAATAATCCGTAAACTGACGGCGTCACGGTCGTCGGGCTCGATAAATTCAACGCATATGACGGGCAGAAACTGGTAATGCCGAGTGAGATAACGGGGATTTTTGTTGTAATGCGTTGCTCTGGCTCATTAAGTCGGTGAATCCTTGGTTTGATTCACTGTTGAGTCAGGTAAACGCGATTTTTTGTGAGATTTTTTGCTCGGGGGGTAGATGTCAGGATATCCTTGGTGGTGCCACGGGGAACGTGATCTGACAGTCTAATCATTTATCGCGCGCCGGGAATTCGTAATCATCTTGGTAATTGGTAATCAATTGCTAATTTTTTCCCTAAAATTTTCAATTTTCAATAACGAAATTCCTTAAAATTTTCGTTTGAATTTTCAACGTCCAATCCCGAAAATTTTTATCATGTTTATTTTCCACTGAAATTTCAGGAAACGCAAATATTCAATTAATTTTTTTAGATCGATCTAAAAATCAATAATTTCCATGAAAATTCGGGAAAATCAGGAAAATTCACGTCATTTTATTCATAAATAATCATGTTTCATTGAAAATGCAGTCAACTTGTGAAAACTTATAAATTTCCTTGAACTCTCCCTAAAACTTAAAACTTCATTTCCATTTTTCCCCTAAATCGGCTTCAATGTGACTCTCATGAGAATTACCACTCCATTTTCCCCGGAACGTCAAAAAATTTCTCGCACTCTGTCCAGAAAAATGATTTTATTCCTTAAAAAATTATGTAAACAAGGCGGTGTGCAGACGGAAGAGGATTCGGCTGGTGCACCGCAGATAGCCATCTTGATTTTATTCAGCTCTCATCGTAAGAAGCGCCCTCGCGAGTCACGGCATTGGGCCCAGACGCACCTCCACACTCGTTATTCCTCTCGCTACAATTGTCTTACGCAACATTATTACCTATCCCAACTAAAAGGTGCATTTATATCAATAGAAATCCGAATGAAACGGCAGAAGCCCCTCAGTATTTTCATCCTGCTTCCAGGATTTCCTCGCTAATTATCACAACCGGAATGCATAAAAAATAACATCCCCCGGCATGAAAGAAATACATCTGAATTACTGCTCTGCAGTTTATAATAATAGAGTAGGAAAGTCTCCACCCAGTTGTTGCTCTCGGCGTTCTTTTTCCCACGAGAGAAATCCCAGCATCCTAGAAAGTCCACAATTTATTCACAATGGAAAACCGGACAAGATCAGGGCTATGACGGTGAGACACTCTGTCTTTCTCTCTGAACCAGAAAGGATTCTGATTTCTAACGACTTTTCCCCGATCGACATTTTACTCTGCGTAACCGTTTTTTTCTCAGTCCCTGGCTCATTTTTATCCAACTGCGGTGACTACATGCAGGCGATGGTAATATCATCGTGCTGTTGTAGGAAGAACAATCAAACGAACACTTCCAAAAATGGTACTGTGATTTTTTTGGACCATCAATCATTAGTTTTACACGGAGAGAAATATTCAGTTTAAATTACGTATCTTTTCCGTAATTCCGGAGCGCAAAGTGGCTGTAGGAAATTTTACGGAACTGTCACGGAATTTTTCCGGAGCGTTCCGTAATTTTTACTGAATATTTCTCTCCACTATAGTAATACTTGCTTTGAAATTTAAAATATAATTGATCATTTAAATTTTCAATTGACTGAAAATTTTCTCTCTAAATTCCAATTCTCTTAGAATTATTTAATGCCTAAAGGAGGTTCGGCGGTGTGTGAGGCGAATTTGAAGAATAAATTCCCGTAGTTCCCGGTAGCTCAGTCGGAAGAGTGCCCGGCGCGTAACTTGGAGACCCGGGTTCGAATCCCGGCTGGGCGGTGCGGGATTTTTTCTCTCTAAATTCTAATTCCCTTAGAATTGTGAATAAATAATTATGAATTAAATAATTGAAAATATGTGATTGTAAACTGACCATTGGGGAAATAGTTATAAATTTCTCAAAAGGGATTTTCGATTAACGAAATTAAGGGTTGTAAGGGTGAAAATAAGAGTCACGGGGATCTAAATAAGGGTCATGGAAGTCAAAGAATGGTCATGAGGGTCAGATTAAGGGTCATAAGGTTCAGAATAAAGATCGCGAGGGTCAAAATAAGGGTTATGAGGGTCAGAATAAGGGTCATAAGGGTCAAATTAAGGGTCATAAGAATAAGATCGTTATAAGGGTGAAAAAATAAGAGTCATGGGGATCAGAATAGGGGTCACCGAAGTCATAGGGTCATCAGGGTCAGATTACGGATCTAAGATAGGTTCACAAAGGTCAGATTAAGGGTGATGAAAATCTAGTACTCGAAATTAAGACTCAAAAATTACGGGTCACAAATGAAGGTTCAAAGTAAGGGCCGCGAGGGTCAGATTAAGGGTCGCAGGGGTCAGAATAGGGATCATGAGGGTCATATGGGGAGCATGGGGGTTGGCGAGTGGAGCGAGTTGTTTGATAAAATGATTCGGAAGTTGGATATATAATTAGTTATAAATTCAATAATTTTAAATGGACCTATATTATTAACTGACTTCTCCCAAATTTAACGTTATTCAAAATTTATGATTCTGTCTACGTCTCCTTTGGACTAGATTTAAAACCATTTCAAATCGCTGCTGACCTAAAAACACTAACTGAACAGCTTCATGGTGATTGGTCTTCCATTGCTCAACTATGACACGTCTCGAAAAACGAGAACGTGTCTTAGTTTTAGACACTAATAATTAATAATTAACCAACGCGGTGAAACCGTCTCGATGAAAAGAAGAATAACATGAGTCTTTATTCAGCGTGACAATGAGGGAATTTCTAATCCTCTGGATCATTGCGCTCTCGGCATCGTGGGGTCAGGTGATCAATCGAGCGCCTCACTTTATCCATAATGGAGACATGGCGAGGCTAGCTGTGTCAGAAGGCACATTACCAGGTGCTGCTGTCTATAAACTCCAGGGTGAAGACCCGGAAGGCTCGAAATTACACTATTCCATCAGCGGTGAGTACTTCACGGTTAACCGAGAAACAGGTGTTGTTACTCTTAGGAAAGCACTAGACCGTGAAGTGCAGGACCTCATCGAAGTCATCATCAGTATAACTGGTGAGCAATTCACGATTTACATTTGCGACAAAAAAAAATTACCGCTTCCAGCGGATTATGGCTTTTAATGGGATTTTTTTGTTCTTGCTCTTGGAACAGATGAGGGCATTGCGGGCTCTGAACCAAATACCGTGTCCTTGAGGAGAGAAATCGCGGTACTTGACGAAAATGACAATCCACCCGTATATCATGGTCGCCCTTACGCAACACGAATACTCGAGAGTGCAAAAATTGGTAGTCTCTTGTTGCCAGAGGGAACTGTTACGGTTACTGATCGTGATGGTGGAGTTAATGCTGACGTTGAGGTCAAATGTGTACCAGCGTCAGCTGAAGATGACACGTGTTTTGTGTTTTCTGTTACGACTGATAAGGTTTTGACAATTTCCCTAACTTATTTATGTATGAAAAAATTTGAAAGGAAAACTCAGCGAATTCGCTAGAAAATTCTATTGGAAAGAGTCAATAGATTTCGATTTCTCTCTGAATTATAAAAATCGAAATCGACTTCTGGTGATGAAAATTTGATACTCGAAATTAAGTTTCCAAAAATAAGGGTCACAAGGGTCAAAATGATGGTCGTGAGGGTCAGAGTAAGGATCGCGAGGGTCAAAATAAGGGTTATGAGGGTCAAAATAAAGGTCATTAGAATCAGAGTAAGGGTTATGAGGGTCACAATAAAGGTCACGACGGTCAAATTAAAAGTTACAAGGCTCGGATTAAGGGCCACAAGGGTCAGAATAAGGGTCACCAGAGGCAAATTAAAAGTCACAAGGATCATATTAGAGGTCATGAGGGTCACAATAAGGGTCACGAGGATCAAATTAAGGGTTATAAGGGCCTGATTAAGGGCCACAAGGGTGCGGAAAATTTTTCTAGAATTTCCCTAGAATTCATAGAAAATCCCCACAGAATTTCTTAAAAATTTCAATAGAATTTTCTAGCGAATTCGCTGAGATTTACCATAAAATTATTTCATACGTGTTACCCCTCAAATTGAACCCTTTCAGTTCAATTATAATCACATTAATTATCATTCCAGATCTCAGAAGGTAAATACGACGTGAGGATAACAGTGGTTCAACCGCTGAACTACGAACGTCGAAATTCCTACCTAATTACGTTGCTGGCAACTGATGGGGCTGGCGATCTATCAAAAAGACTGCAGGCCAAAGCCACAGTGGCTGTTGATGTCCTGGACGTGCAGGACCAGCCTCCAATATTTCTGAATGCTCCTTACAGCGCAGCTATCCCTGAGAACACGTCCCCAGGGCATCCAGTGTTGACCATCAGAGCTAGGGACGGTGACACTGGTGAGTCAAGGTCTGTCCTACTGACCCTCGAGGGCGACGACTTGAATCATTTCGATCTGAGGGTCTCCAGGGAGGGGGATATCACGGTGGGGACCCTCGTGACGACAGACGTCGCTCTAGATCGTGAAGAGACTAGGATTCTACACGACGGCGGGATTTACACCTTCAGGGTTAGAGCAACGGAGCTCATCAATGATGAGATTCCAGCTGACTCTTCCACTTCCGTCATCACTATTGTCGTTACCGATGTTGACGATCTATCCCCAATGTTCAATGAGGAGTATTTCAGGGTCAAGGTCTTCGAGGACATCGGGGTTGACACCCCTTTACCTGGATTGAACATGGTAGTGAGTGATAATGATGTCGGTGATAACGCCAAGTTCGTTCTGGCCCTGAGGGACGCCCCAGGGTATCCAGGCGTTAGCCGAGCCTTCTCAGTGGCTCCGGAGAATGCGCAGGGTCGAGTGCCGGTTGTCATCAAAGCTCTTGATCCCAAAATACTGGATTACGACGTTGAAGATCCATCGAAACGAGAGATGGAGTTTGATGTCACTGCCTCAGTAGACGGACGTGTTGCTGCATTCTCCAGGGTTCACATCAAACTTCTGGATGCCAACGATCACAGCCCAGAGTTTTCTGAATCTGTATACAAGCTCTCTGTGAGAGAAGACGCCAAACCTGGTGCCAAATTCGGGGACGTCATTGCGAGGGACGAGGACAGTGGTACCTTCGGGGAGTTGAGTTATACTTTACGCGGATTTGGAGCTGATAAATTCAGGACGGATTCGAAAAACGGGGGGATCTGGGTGGCCAAAGGTCTCGACTACGAGATTCAGAAGTCTTACTCGTTGACTATGGAAGCGAGAGATGGAGGGGGCAGAGTGTCGACGGTTAACGTCATCATCGAGGTGGCTGACGTCAACGATAACTCCCCTGTTTTCGAGCAGAAGGAATACTCCAGGACGGTTCGGGAAAGTGCCACCAGTTTCGATCCTCAGCTGTTCATCAGGGCAACTGACGTCGATGGCCCGGCCCATGGGAACGGAAAGGTCAGCTATTCTATCAGCAGACATAACGGTATGACAGAGGATGTATTTCACATCAATGCGGACACAGGGGAGGTCACCATGAACTTTCCAGCGAAGTCTGGCGATACAGAGAGGGGTCTCTACGAATTGACGATTCGAGCTACTGATCATGGCTATCCGCCCTTGTACTCCGAGACTAAATTGTTGATTAGGGTCGGAGTCCCGGGGAATCAGAGGCCCATCTTCAGAGGAAATTACAAAGGAGCACCTGGACCAAACAGTTATCGAGCCAGACTTTTGGAAAACGCGAGTCCTGGAACTGAAGTCATCAAAGTTGTGGCCAACGATCCCGATGGGAGGGACAGCCTTCTCCAGTACTACATCGCCTCCGGTGCTAAAGACAATTTCGTCATTGACTCTAGCTCTGGGATAATAACGGTGTCCCCCGATGCCAGACTTGATCTGGAGACAGGTGGTGATAAATACGATGTTATCATCTACGCTGTGGACTCTGGGACACCGGTCAGAGAGACAGCAACAACAACTGTTACTGTTAATGTCTTGGACGTTAACAACAAGCCGCCCAAATTCCGGAATTCTACGTATTTGCTTTACGTCTCGGAACGGGCTTCGATTGGAGATTCTGTGCTCAGAGTAACTGCACTCGATCCTGACTCGGACGCCAACATTGAGTATTCCATAGTGGAGCCTATCAAAGCTGTTGATAAAACGGGGGTCGCGTTGAAGAGCACAACCCCTTACGATTACAAGACTGCGTTCAGGATTAATCCGACTACTGGAGCTATTTCCGTGAATAGGGTATTAGATTATCAAGTGGCTGCTGTCATTATTCTGACCGTTCAAGCCAGAGACATCAATGCCGTTGTTGATAAGGAGCTCCAAGTGGACACAGTCGAGATGACGATCTACATTCAAGCCTTCAGCAACAACAACCCCATTTTCCTGAACTCTGGGTGGTCCCTCAATAATCCAGTGATTCGGGTGAATGTGCCGGAAGAGCAGCCCCTTGGGACCACTCTCCTGATGCTCTCCGCCAGGGAGTCCACTGGCCACGCTGTTCAGAGGTTCGAACTTGTGAGGGAGGAAGATGATGAAGGATACGTGAATGTTGGGGTTCAGAGTGGTAACGTCGTGTTGAGCAAAAGATTGGACTACGAGTCGTTGGGTCAGAAGTTCATAAAGTTCAAAGTCCGAGCGCTAGCTAGGGATTACGACATAACTAGGACGATGACAGAAGCGAATGTCATCGTCGAGATTCAAGACGTTAACGATAACAGCCCAGAGTTCACCAAGAAGGATTACAAGATATCGGTGTTGGAGGACTCGAAGCCTTCTAGGATCGTTCTCAATGTCAAGGCGGTGGACATGGACAGCTCCAACACCGAGCAAGAGGTGAAAAGGGGGTATGGGGAGGTCAGATATACCCTGACCGGTGAGAACGCCAACCTCTTCGAGATTGACCCGATCAGCGGAAACATTCGTATCGCCAACGACACAACACTGGACCGAGAAAGACAATCTGTTCTCAGGTTCTACGTGGTGGCTTCTGACATGCCCGGTGGTGGAGCCGAGCAGAAGACTACCCGAGCTCTAGTCACTGTAGACGTTCTGGACGTCAACGACAACGCCCCCAGCTTTCCGCAGGAGTCTTACACAGCGGTCATTCCTGAAAATGCGCCTGTAGGTGTCAGTGTTGTGAACATCACAGCGAGCGATCCCGACGAGGGGAAAGGGGGGGAAATCTACTTCGAGATGATCGACGAGGGAGAGGCCAGTGGGCTCTTCACGATAGATCATCGAACTGGGGAGATTTCGTCGGCGAAGAGATTGACGGGAAAGGGAAGGACTGATCCTTACAATATGAGAGTGAGGGCTCAGGACAATGGACGACCTGTTCTCCACTCTGACGTGTCACTGGTCCTCTACATTGGGGACGTCGTCAGCAATGATGGAGTTCCTCTGTTTATCCGCCCGACTCTTGAGGAGATCGCTTACATATCGGAGAACTCTACGGTGGGGAGTCCGGTGTTTCAGGTGGTCGCTTCTGATCCTGACGACCCGAATCTTCCGGATGGGAAGATAACGTTCAAATTCCTGGAGGATGGGAACTTTGAGAACGATGCTAGCTCCTTCAGAATTAACGGGGAGAGCGGGCTGATCACGACGAGGAAGCTTTTGGATCGTGAGACGAAGGACAGTTACACTTTGATTCTAGTCGCTCAGGATCTTGGTAGTCCCCCTCAGCAGGCGTCCAGGGTCCTCCAGGTGATCGTCAGCGACATCGACGATCATAAGCCCCATTTCAAGAGGAGTTTAGATAGCCCTCCGATCGAATTCAATGTCCCTGAGGAGGTTCCAGCTGGCACAAAGGTCGGCGTCCTCGAGGCTGTGGACGAAGACATTGGTGACAACGGAATGATGGATTACGTCATCATCTACGGAAATGAAGCTGGACTTTTCACGATTGAAAGGCTGGAAAATAACTCCGCGGTGATCAAATCGGCTGGTCGACTCGATCGCGAGACAGCGGATCGTCATCTGCTGACGGTCAAGTGTTATAAGTATCCTGTGAAGCAGTCAGACATCATACCCAAGAGGTACAACCGCCAGGACCCGTCAGAGCGACAGTTTCTGGTGAAGATCATCGATGTTGACGACAACAAGCCTAAATTCAGGAAGGACAACATCACCATTGGAGTGAGGTTGAATGTGCCCATTGACACAAGCTTGATAACTCTAGAGGCTTATGACGAAGATGTTGACGCACTTCCCATCAACTACATCATGGGAAAAGTGTCATTCACGTCGCTGGCGGAACCCTCGATGTCGAAGAAGGGAATTCCATCGTATTTATCTCTGAATCATCAGAGTGGAGAGTTGAGGACGACCGGGTCGATGGCCAGTTTTGCTGACGGCTTCATGGAGGTCCCCATAACAGCGAACAATTCTCAAGTGCCTGGACGAGAGACTAACATCACTCTGCGGATATTCTTGCTGAGAGACAGGGACATGTTGAAGTTTGTCTTCTCGAAGCCTCCGGTTGAAGTCAGAAAGACTCTGGAAGAATTCGAAAAGGCTGTGCAGCAGGCACTCTCTCTGCCCATTACAGTCAACGTTTACGACACTCAGTTCTACTCGAAGGACGATAATTCACTCGATTTTTCGTCAACAAGCTCTTGCTTCCAGATGGTGGGGCGCGAGGCTTATGATCTCGAGGAGATGAAGTCTCTGTTGAGGGACTCGAGGAACGATGAGTTGAAGAAGGTTTATGAAAAATTTCATGTCGAGAAAGTGCAACATTGCGCTGCTCTCGTGGCACGAGCCGATGCCTCGATGACTCAGATGTGGGTGCTTGCCATAGCAGCATTAGTCGGCGTTGCGGCTATTGTCTCTAGCTGCACGTTATGCTGCATGCACTCAAAGTAAGTTTTCTCGTAATTTTACATCTTCATCTTGACTTTAATTTCATGTGACGTCCAGTGGTCGCGGTGGTTAAATCGTTAGTTTGGCTTGACGACTAGACGGTCNACAACAAGCCTAAATTCAGGAAGGACAACATCACCATTGGAGTGAGGTTGAATGTGCCCATTGACACAAGCTTGATAACTCTAGAGGCTTATGACGAAGATGTTGACGCACTTCCCATCAACTACATCATGGGAAAAGTGTCATTCACGTCGCTGGCGGAACCCTCGATGTCGAAGAAGGGAATTCCATCGTATTTATCTCTGAATCATCAGAGTGGAGAGTTGAGGACGACCGGGTCGATGGCCAGTTTTGCTGACGGCTTCATGGAGGTCCCCATAACAGCGAACAATTCTCAAGTGCCTGGACGAGAGACTAACATCACTCTGCGGATATTCTTGCTGAGAGACAGGGACATGTTGAAGTTTGTCTTCTCGAAGCCTCCGGTTGAAGTCAGAAAGACTCTGGAAGAATTCGAAAAGGCTGTGCAGCAGGCACTCTCTCTGCCCATTACAGTCAACGTTTACGACACTCAGTTCTACTCGAAGGACGATAATTCACTCGATTTTTCGTCAACAAGCTCTTGCTTCCAGATGGTGGGGCGCGAGGCTTATGATCTCGAGGAGATGAAGTCTCTGTTGAGGGACTCGAGGAACGATGAGTTGAAGAAGGTTTATGAAAAATTTCATGTCGAGAAAGTGCAACATTGCGCTGCTCTCGTGGCACGAGCCGATGCCTCGATGACTCAGATGTGGGTGCTTGCCATAGCAGCATTAGTCGGCGTTGCGGCTATTGTCTCTAGCTGCACGTTATGCTGCATGCACTCAAAGTAAGTTTTCTCGTAATTTTACATCTTCATCTTGACTTTAATTTCATGTGACGTCCAGTGGTCGCGGTGGTTAAATCGTTAGTTTGGCTTGACGACTAGACGGTCGTGGGTTCGAATCCCAGCCGGGGTGGAATTTTTAACTTCTGATCACAGGGGTTGGGGATTCCACTGAGTGGCTGGGGTTCGGATCTCGGCTGGGAAAGGGCCCTCAACTTCTGCGAAGGGGTTAAGGGCCTACCTGGGCCGGGTTCTGCTTATCAGGGCTCGGCCTATCTCGGCTCTGGGCGAGCGGGAGGTTGCTAATAGAGTAACCGACTGTACCGACGTGGGTTTTCTGTGGCTTCCCATATCTCTTCAGTGACGAGGAGTGAATACGGTACAGCGCACAAAGTCGGCCACAGCCGCAGTGATAGGTAGGGAGTTAGGGTGGGGGCAACGATGGTGTCAATCCTTACGGATTGATACGGGCACCTCTGCTCCAGGGTGCGTGCCCTGTTGAAAAACCATCGAAAACCTTCGTCGCTGATAAACTTACATAAATTAGGTATGAGTAAGGAGACGTTAAAAAAAATTCTGACTGAATTCGGGAAGAATTCCGGAGCTTTTCGATTTGTTGCCTGGAGTATTTGGAAGCCTACCGAGAAATTTAGGCTTTTTTTTTTAATTATCATTTAACATCGCTGCGACTCGGTTGACTCGGGCGATATTAGACGCGATTAGAAGTGCACATTAATTTTGTGCGAATAAATTGACTTGGCTCAGGTCTAATTATTAGTTTTCTCATTGTTCAGACGAATTCTCTCAGCCTACCATTAGTATTTTTAACACCACAAAATGATAAAAAATAATACTTTTACCAGTTTGATTGGGAGATAGTAGATGATGAGGTCTAATGATGATGATTTTCTCGACTTAAAGATATAAACGCCATGTGAAACACGCACGCTTGAGGGAACAAGCGAGACCACCACTGAGCTATGTTTCCTCGGGGCCTGGAATGGTTAATGCTCAATCGCACACGACATTGGGGACTCTGGGGCCTGGAACGATTGTTGCTCTGGGGCCTCACGAAGGCCCTTACGAGTGGGGAGCTGATACCACTCTCTATCATCCCAGCACTCTGTCCAGAGCGTGAAACAAGTTTTTATTTCAGGGGAACAATGGAAAAGACTTTGGTGCTTGAGGATAATGACGAGTGATTTGGACATTGAAATGCGAACACTCGAAGGTCCAATAATTTTGTACATTTGGATGAGCTCGAGGTGTTAGCCTTCTGTAATATAATTCTCAGTTAGTGCTTCCAGTTAAGAGATGTACATTTTAAAGTATTTATATAAAAGTTGAATACAAAAATTGAGCTGATGTTTATGGATATTTGGATATGGAAGAATTTCGAATGTTCGGGATATTTGTCAGTCTTATTTTCTATTTGTAGATGCCTCGTGAAAATGTCAAGGTAACAACGGACAGTTCAACCTACTTTTTTGTGATGAATCGACTTAATTTTATGGTGCGAAAACATCATGAGAAAAGTCGTAAAATCTGTGATTGAAGACTCGGTTTTAAATGTGGGTTTGAATGTATCACAATTTTTCATCTCAAGTGAAACTCACAACTATGAGTTGTAATGCAGTAATTAGCGATTGTGGCCAATTATATGGGAACAGTTATATGACTCATGAACAGTTTCACTTTTACAGCATTTTCCATTTTTATAATGATTTGAACGGTCCTCGGGCNTTTTTTTTTTTTTTTTTTTTTTTTTTTTTTTTTTTTTTTTTTTTTTTTTTTTTTTTTTTTTTTTTTTTCGTAATTGCAGGTCTTGTTCTTTAGCCGGAGGATTGAAATCAGTCTGTCGCCACCAGACCATCAGCGAATTTCTGGAAACCTTCAGGTGTGTCGATGTCTAAACTTGAGACAGGGTTTTTGGTCTCATTCTCGACAATTTGATAGGCTTCGCTCGTTGTCTCCACATTTTCCTCGGTATTATCGTCTTTGTGATTGAGAGGCACTTCGTCGACCTTTTTATTGTCTTCATTTGGCATTTCCAGAAAGCTCTCTTCGTATTTGGTTAGCGGTGAATTAGTGGAATCACTCTCTTCCCCTTCCTCCTTCAATCCTTCGATAACAGAGTGATCAGCTAATTGTTTTGTGATTGCATCGAATGGAGACATGACTTTCCGCACGAATTGCTCTTGGTCTTCTGGTCGCATTGCTTCGGATCCCTGTAGAATGTCCTTTCTGGAACAGAAAAGCCATTTTTTGGGGTCACGCTCATTTTTTTCAAGTACTTGCGATTTCGAATAAACATCCTCCACACGATTAATTAAAAATTACGCCATCCTCACCTGCTGAGTTTATTTTTCTTCCGAGGATACAGATTCAGGTGAAAAACCATCTGCTGCTTCTCCTCTTCCTCCGACATTCCAGATTGGCTCGCTGGAATAGCCACGACAGGGATCGGCTGGCTCTGGCCTCCGTAGTATCGTCCACCTCGGCCAAAAGTCAAAGGTATCCTTGGATCGGATGAATAATCCTCGGCGCTCGCCACAGGTCTCGGCCGTGATAGTTTCTTGTTCGTCGGTTGATCGTTCAATTCAGTTATTGGATAGATGTCCAACATCACACTGAATGGCTTCGCCTTCCTCTTCTTGTTTCCGTACGCCCCTGCGTATGACGCACCGCTGTCGTAGGACGATTCGATGGGTGGGGGTGGCCTCATCATCAGGGGACGCTGCATGTAGGACTCGTAATAGGGGTTGTATCGTTGCAGTCCTGCGGGGGAGAATCTAAAGAAGCAGAAGCGATCGAGAGCTCATTAACTATGAGAAATTTATAATGATCTCAGATCTGATTTCACCCCGAAACTCTAAATTTCACCGCAAGATTTTTCGCGTTTTCAACAGTTTTTAACTCGCGGCAATTTTCAGGACACGAAATCTTTTGTCATTTCCGCGTTAACTGACGTGACAAAAGATACAATTCTGACATTTAGCTCACGCAAAGCTTCTTGTAAATAAGTAGACATTTTTGTAGACAATTAGGGGGCTACGGTCCCTGCTCGCTACCCCCATATTACCCCTACCATATTACCCCTACCTTGACCCTTATTTGGACCCTTGATCTGAACCTTGTGATCCTTAATCTGATCCTTGTGACCCTTACTCTGACCCTCGTGACCTTGATTCTGAGCCTTATGAGCCTTATTCTGATCTCGTGACCATTATTTTGACCCTTGTGACCCTTCATTCTGGAGTCTTAATTTCGAGTATGAAATTTTGATCACCAGAAGTCGATTTGAATTTTTACAATATTGAGAAAGGACCACAAGGGTCAAAAGGGGCAATACCCCTTATTTGACATTATTATGAAAGTTGATTTGATATTAGGAGGGGTAAGGCGGGACTTTAGTGACCTTGTCGACCCTTTAAGGTCATAAGGGCCATAAGGGTTTCAGGGTTCTCCTAGGTAACAAGGGTCAAAACCCGTTATTTGACATTGTTATGAAAGTTTTTTTAAATTTTTTTATTTTGACCCCCATGGCCCTTGCTTAGACCCTTATCCCTGAACCTTATGCCCCTGAATCTGACCCTTGTGACGCTTATTTGGCCCTTGCGGCCCTTAGTTTCTGACCCTTCACTTTGGAGTCTTATTTCCGATTTCCAAATTTTCATCCCCAAAGTCGATTTTGATTTTTATAATATGAAATGTAAATATCCTCAATAGATCTTCAAGCAAACGAAGGTACAAATTATGATTATTTAGTAGCGAATTGAGGCTTCACCTGAGATTGGCAGGCGCCAGGAGATTGACATCCGCAGGATGTTTAGGCTTGTAAGGATAGAAAGGATCGTTATTCATGAACAGAAAAGGTGAACTTTCAGAGTCCTCAGCTTCCTCTTCGGTGACAGCTATCTCTGACTTATCGCTGTTCGCCATCATCTCTCCGATGTCAGGGTAGAGATCGTACTTCTTGGGATTCATGTAGACCCCAGTGAACTTTATACCCCGTTTCGAACTCTCGGGATCGTTTGTCAAGTATTTTATTATATCCTGGATGTTCCTGGAGCTGTGGGGATACCTGTACTGGCTCAACTGAGGGAATTTCGGGCGCTGGAAGGAGGAGGGGGTGGGGTTCTGCAGTTGGAAGTGGAATGGGGTTGGTCGGGACTCCTCTGGTGGTTCTTCATCGTCATTCAGCCCATGGGGATACCTGAACAAGAGATTTTAATGCCTGATTCAGCGATGGCCATAATCATCCTTCATTAGTAAGGGAGCTGATGCGGGATTCTCGAAATAATCAAACTGCGAGATATTGATCATTTTTTCTCGATTTATGAAAATAATCGATGGCTGTGTACGTCATATCCGGTCTAACCGTCAAGGCGCTGGGCGCGCGAAGCGCGCCTTATGCTAGTCCTATTTACGAAAGATGAAAGAAACGTGAAGTTGTTTTATATCGAAATATCTCGAAACTGCCTGACTGCTAATCCTCAATTTTGATTGGTCAATGAGTCGCGTGAAGTAGTCGCTGAAGAAAATCCGCGGTATTTTCAAATTCTTCAGATGCCAAAAATTTTTTCTGCGTCGTATTTATCATTTTTTCATTCTTGAAGTTTATCTTTATATCAAAATATATCTAAATTGCCTAATTGTTGATCATGAGAAAAAATATAGTGTTTCTAAATTTTTTTAACTCACAAATTATTCTTCACTTCTCAAATTTTAATTTTTTCATATTTATCATACGCAAAATGATCAATTCTTGCTTCTCAGATTTTCATACATAAATTCTAAACTCTACAAGATTCATGAAAATTCTTCGCTTTCCCAAATAATTATCACAGATAAGCGCGCACTCAGGTCTAGTAAACTAGAATTACCATCAAATTTTCAACTAGTCAATTGTTTCACATTGCTCTACAATTTTTAATTATTACATCAATTAAATTCAATTATCTACTTCAATCTTCATAATTTACAACAGACATGATTGTTTTGGTTATTTACATTTGTCTGACTCGATAGACGACCGCATGATTGCTGAATAACTGCTTCGACTCGACCTCTTCCTCTCCGACATCTTCATTCTCTGCAGACTCCAACAATCTCTTTCTCAATTTGAAATTCTCAAGACTCTGGGCTCGAGGCTCGATGGGATCAGAGTCGAGACTCGTGCCCTTTTTGCCACTTTTCGCGGCGTCGACGAAGGACAGCGTCCTGATATCGTCGTCGTATCGATCTTCGATATTAGCCATCGTCAATCTCTCGACCTCAGGCTTTTGCGAAGTTGTTGTGATTTTTTTTGAGAGATTCGAGGACTTCTTCAGGGCATTTTGGAGGATGTAGATGTGCTTGGTCTCCTGGCTGACCTTGCTAGTAGCCGATGTACCAGACGCAAAGTCGTAGATGAAAATGGCGGCCTGTATTCATAATTCATCTCCAGGAATTAAAATTCAGTAGCGAAGTGGTCAAACGGTTTAAGTCGATTTTGGCTATTGGCCAGTTTTCCATGACTATCTCGAAATCTAAGCGAGATAGCAAAATTTTTCTCATAACCTTTTTGATAGCTCTCAATTCGCTCTACAATAAAGGTTATTATGAAAATTTCGCTATCTCCCTTAAATTCGGAAATATTTCTGGAAAACTCAACTAAGGACTAAATTGACTTGAGCCGTTTGACCACTTCGCTGCTGATGAATAGAATGCAATTAGTGAGGTTGATACTTCAATTTCAAAATTTCCGATGTACCAGACGCAAAGTCGTAGATGAAAATGGCGGCATGTATTTACGATTCATCTCCAGGAATTAAAATTCAGTAGCGAAGTGGTCAAACGGTTTAAGTCGATTTTGGCTATTGGCCATTTTCCATGAATATCTCGAAATCTAAGCGAGATAGCAAAATTTTTCTCATAACCTTTTTGATAGCTCTCAATTCGCTCTACAATAAAGGTTATTATGAAAATTTCGCTATCTCCCTTAAATTCGGAAATATTTCTGGAAAACTAAACTAAGGACTAAATTGACTTGAGCCGTTTGACCACTTCGCTGCTGATGAATAGAATGCAATTAGTGAGGTTGATACTTCAATTTCAAAATTTCCGATGTACCAGACGCAAAGTCGTAGATGAAAATGGCGGCATGTATTTACGATTCATCTCCAGGAATTAAAATTCAGTAGCGAAGTGGTCAAACGGTTTAAGTCGATTTTGGCTATTGGCCATTTTCCATGACTATCTCGAAATCTAAGCGAGATAGCAAAATTTTTCTCATACCCTTTTTGATAGCTCTCAATTCGCTCTACAATAAAGGTTATTATGAAAATTTCGCTATCTCCCTTAAATTCGGAAATATTTCTGGAAAACTCAACTAAGGACTAAATTGACTTGAGCCGTTTGACCACTTCGCTGCTGATGAATAGAATGCAATTAGTGAGGTTGATCCTTGAATTTCAAAATTTCGATTGAATGAATGTCCGAAATAAAATGGTAATGAAGAATTTCTATCGATCATCATCACCGTGAAATCATCACAATTATATTCTGACAATTAGGCGCTTCACGGTATCAGATCACGCCATTTCATTCGCATTAGATTGAGAAAAAAAATTAATTTTATATATTGTTGCCATGTTTAATCCGTGTCAAAGCACTGTTAACGCCCTATATGTGAAGCATTGCAGAAATCTCGGATTCGGCGTCACGACCGGTCGTCACGCGTCACGATCACTGCAGAATAAACGCTCGGGGAGAAAATATTGAGCTAAAATATGATCTCGTTTTTCGCGATAATCTCGAAATTTCGATCACGAGAGATGGATTTTCTTGCGATTTTCCGATTTCCAGATAAGTTCAACGGTTGGATTCGCGCTGAATTGAATGATAAAAAAAAGTGAAAGCTCGGGGGAGCTTCCCACAGTCCGTCCACTGATACTGTTCACTCGCCAACGTAACTGGAATGATGAGACAGAATTTAACAATGAAGCGCTAATGAGTGACTAATTATTGTTATTCAGTCGAGTGTAACGACCTGCTGGGGCAACAATTGAAGGATTCAAACCATCTTCGAGAATGTAAAAGCGTGTTTATTACTGAATTGATGAGGGATCCTATTCACTAAAGATGAAAGAAACGTCAAATTGTTTTATATCGAAATATCTCGAAACTGATCGCTAATCCTCAGTTCTGATTGGTCAATGAGTCACGTGAAGTAGTCGCTGAAAAAAAATCCCCGGTATTTTCAAATTCTTCAAATGCCAAAATTTTTTTCTGCGTCATATTTATCATTTTTTCATGTGTGAAGTTTATCTTTATATCAAAACATATCTAAATTGCCTAATTGTTGATCATGAGAAAAAAAAACAGTATTTCTAATTTTTTTAACTCACAAATTATTCTTCACTTCCTAAATTTTAATTTTTTTCATATTTATCATACGCAAAAATGATCAATTCTTGCTTCTCAGATTTTCATACATCAATTCTAAACTCTACAAGATTCATGAAAATTCTTCGCTTTCCCAAATAATTCGAGAAAAATCTTTGAATATCTGCAGTTATCTGGAAAACTGTGAAATTTTCCCAAGAATTCAAGAAATTTTTTCAGTTCTCTAGGAAATCAATTCATAGCCCTCCCCCCATCTTTCAACAATTACAAATTTTAATCAGATTACTTTAAAAAGTGAAAAAATACGAATTAATCGAAGATTAGAAATTATTCATTGATGTTTCACTCTTCATCCTCTTAATTCTCTTCAAGCATTATCAATATTTATAAAACATCAATAAGTATATGAACTTCAATAAATTCGACTTCTTAATTTTCACAACAAATAGACAAGCGCGCGCACAGGTCTAGTTGCCAGAAATACATGACCAAATGAAAACGAGAAATAAAAGTTGAGAAAAGCGCAGCAAAAGCTTTGTTCTTTCCCTCGAGAAGACGACAAAATGTTTCATCATTACCAGAATGACAGCAACAATTGTCATGACTACAATGACAAATTTCTTGACGACAGAGCCGTATTTATTCGAATGGTATCGATCAGCCCGATCAGAGTAAAGCCCCAGCTCCGAACTGCTAATAGCCGATCGCCGTCCAGTCTCAAACATCTCGTGCACTTGAATTTCACACGCGATCAATCATACTTGAGACGCTTGTAATTCCTACGATAGTATATCAACGGAAACTGGTGTTCACTCGACACCTTCAGTAGTGACTAAACTCACCGAATGCAGTTTTCCCCGGCATTCAATTGCTCTGTTGAGGCACAATGAGAAAATTTTTTCCTCGTGGGGGTGGATAGGATGGTAGGAGAACATGTGAATGCATGAACTACTTACCAAACGACTTTGGAACTCACTATCCATGAAGATTCTTCCAAATGAGGAGTGGTCACTGCACTTGGACAATGAAATTAGTCCAATACAAGTGTGTTAAAAAAATTGTCTTTTATTTTAACTTGTGATGATAATTACATCTCGATGCAACGTTTTCTCTTGTCTCGTAAAAGTACATGAATTAGTACTGCATTTTCAGGCGTTGAGTACAAATGTGAGCTTTTCGGGTGGTGATTAACGTTCCCAATCATGAATCTCATCAGTTTCGACCAATAAAATGAATTTCACTCTTCTGCCAATTTGCATGATCTCTTTATTCTTAACATAAATTTAGGTCTCAGCGTTTACGGAATTCAAAGGAGATTTCCGGAATTGCGTAGTTGTATCCAACTGGTCTTGATGTTGGTGGCGGGAGGGTGGGGGGTGGTCCAGGCCTTCCGGTTGGGGGTGGGCGGTAGGTCGATGTGCTTGGAGTGATGCTGTAGATTGGGGTGGGGAATGGCGGGGGTGGG